ATCAACGTATTCTGCTCTAGTCGCGAGGTTAGGGTTTTTGCGCCAGCGATGGTAGGCTGTTTGTTTCAAGGCAACAGTTCTAGAACAGTTTTTGTTGAACCAGGGTTTCGAAGGTGATGATCTTTTCGAAAAATGAGGTATGTATGTGTCCATTCCGAGCATGATGATCTCGGATATTTCCGCAGCACACTGTGAAGGGTCCTCAGAGTCAAAGCATACTCTATGCCAAGGAAACTCGGAGAAAAACATGCGGAGACCGTCCCAATCTCCTGAATTGTAATGCCATATAAGACGTGGGGGTGCCGGAGCAGTTGATGGAATGAAAAATGGGCAGGTTGTGGAGATGAGTGTGTGGTCAGAATTGCCAAGTGGAGCTCGTACATCTATGGTGTAGGGTGCTGAATTATTAGTGAGGAATAAGTCAAGTATGTTAGCTGAATGGTTATTGGCATCGGGAATTCGTGTGGGTTCTTTGATAAGCTGCTCTAAGCCGTGAGTGATGGCGAAAGCTTCGGCTTGTCGCCCAGCTTCATCCGTTCTGTTAGAGTGTACGAGCCAAGCAGTGTTGTGTACATTGAAATCGCCCATGATGATGATTTCTGCTGCTGGATGGTTCTGTTGAATTTGGTCAAGCTTCAGAGACAAGAATTCGAAGAGCTCTTCATAGGATGGATCATTTGGTGATAAGTAGAGACAACAAAGGTATTTGGTCTGTTTCTGGCTATCGAGTTTGAACCACATGACATCAAACTTATTTGGTTCCAAAGTTTTTTCTCGTTGACATGAGAGATTCGTTTTAGAGTAGAGGCAGAGACCTCCCTTGAATCTGAAACGTGTGTGGAGTTCGTACCCAGGACAGAGCAGATAGGTCGTATTGGTGGATGAATTGACCTGTGTCTCAGTAAGAGCCAATATGTCTGGCTTTTCAATTTGAAGGTGTCGATGGACATCGTTGATGTTCTTACTTAGACCTCGGATGTTGCAGGACTTTTTGAGCCGATGGTGAACCCCCTCTAGCACCTCTCGCCCGGAAATCCGAATGGAGAGGTATTTTACTTCCGGATAATTTCACTTGAGGAGAACTCATCATCGCGTATTCTGTATAAAGAAGGTAGGTTGGCGTGGAAGGAAAAGGAAATTGGGTTGGGTTGGGTTGGCCGGAACATCAACCAGCTACTGAAACACGGGTAAGTATACCCATTTCACAGTGCTAGACTACTTTTCCAAAACCATCAAACCTTACTCAGCCTGAATGAACCCTTTTCCTAAAAAGACAGTACTTTTTTCAGGACGGAAAATATCCATTTGCATAAAAAAAGACACTATTTTTTTAAACCAACTAACCTTACTCGGCCTAAATGAACCGTCTTTTCTTATTATTAGCCGACGCATGCGCTGTTATACAGTTGCGCTCGCAGACCTTCATTTATTTTATTTTTTGGAGATCCTTGTTATCCGTATATGTTTAGTAGGTATATGGTAGTCACCTTGCCAATTGAAAGTGTGGCTGCAACGAGATGTAGCTGCAACGAAATGATGGATTAGGTCCAAGTCTGAGTACTATCTCAGCACTTACTCAGCACTCAGTCTCTGATAGAAAACGTCAAGTCCAAATAGAGTAAACTCATCAACTGATCTCTTTTGGGTAGTATTGTATACTTCGCTGTTGCTCAACCTTGACCAGTTTATCTACGTAACTCGAAGTGCTTATAGATGACAATGAGTGGTCAAATTGCTCGAAAGTACTGTGGGAGCGTCCTCTCCTCACTTTCATATTAACAGTAGGCATACTGATTTTGACGTCCCTATAGTAGATGTACACCTTGGAGGTGGCTTGCAACCACTCTCATTTTATCCCGGCAGGAGACGATCCTTCTACTGAGAAAAGCCAGAAGGCAAACCGAGAGGAATGCAAGCATAGTCCATCTGAGCAATTGATCAGATAATACCAACATGAACTTTTGCTACTGAGTCTTGGTTGGCGCAGTGAAGAGGGTTTGATTGCTTTCCGCTAATTCACTCAACTTCACATCGTACAATTTGCATTGTAAAAAGATGCGTGGTCAAGAAATACTTTTGATTCATACTCGATTTTCATTTCTTTTCTACCTTCACAGAACTCTGTATCCACGAACTTATATAAAAAGAAATACACAAGTGGGAACATGTTTGAGAGGTGTCGAATTGAATCTCGATACTTCTCGAACATGATAAATACTAGACGATCACATGAAATATGGTTATAGATAGTTCCATATTTAGATAACACCCGGGTGGGATTACAACCTCTAGCACCTCTCGCTCAGAAATCCGAATGGAGAGGTATTTTACTTCCGGATAATTTTGCTTGAGGAGAACTCATCATCGATATTTTTGTATTGTAGAGGGATAAGGTTGGCGTGAAAGAAAAAGGAAATTGGATTGGGTTGGGTTGGTCGGAATCACCAAACAGTAACTGAAACGTCAGTAAACTGACTGTATTATAATACATTTCACAGCGCCTAGGGTCGGTGGGGTAGTATCGCACCGGGCGGTGGTGTTAGCCATCTTCCACCTATTGGCGTCCTCTTATTCGCCTTCTATGACAGGCAAGACTTACCATGGGGCTATTCTGATCAGACCACTGCACTAGTATACATATAGGCTGACTGAAAAACTTCCCAAGCCCTAGCGTCATTATTGATTATCCGATTTTGAAAAATAAAAAGAGCAAATGAAATTGTTCATCAGATATACTATGAGTAGGCACTGATCATTATCTCTTCAAATTTCAACTGTTATTGTATGTTTTTCAATTTCTTTTGTTCCATTTTTTTTCTGAATCTGATGTAGGACATCCAAATGACTTCTGGCCAAAGAAAAGTTGAAATTAAAATGAATTCTAATTTGACAAGAATAAGATAATTATTTTCATAAAATTTTGAGATTCATTCCAATATATGTGTACTAAGACAAATCATATGATTTGCCCGAAAATATCACTGCGTTTGACATTTTTTTTTCTATCAGGGAACCTGAAATAAAAATCCAATAGCTTGTCAGTGACATTCTGTTTGGAAAAATGATCGAAGACAAGGAATATACATGTATTGAAAAAATAGGTATCGAATTTTTTCTTACCTTTGGAACTCGAGCTGGAATCTAATGGTAATCGCGAAGTGGAATGGAAGATAAAAGGTCTTGCAGTTCTTTCTCGTAGACGGTGTTATTGGCTTATTTTTCGGAAATACCACAACAAAAGCCATCAACACTGTATATATATACCCGGGAAAAAAGTACTCACCTTTTTCACGTGGGAAAAAAGTAATTTATGAAAAATGACATATTGTAACCTGTCAACAGAGATAACATGTGAAACTATTTTTCCGTCACAGAAAAAAAGAAATTTGAGATGGACGAGCGTTGATAATTGGAAATAATAATAATCTTTATTATTCCCAAGAAACATATATGTTTATAGCAGGGAAAATTATGAAAGAGCAACTAAAAAAACAAAAATTAGATAATCAGATAATCATTTTCAAATCATATACATAATACATATAATGTTGTTTCTTCTAGAGACTGTTGAATATGATTTCTTGAATTGATTCAGGATGACATGAAGAGAATCAAAGACATAAGTATTCTTTCAGTTCTTTTTTGAATTTTTCAACACTTAATTTTTTCTTTAGTCTGGCAGGTAATTCATTATAGAGAATTGTTCTATTGTATAAAATAGATCTTTTACCCATATCTGATTTAATTTTGATGAGAGTTCACATATCTTTTTGTCTGGTTATGTGTTCGTGTTTATGACTATTGACTTCGATATTCAGATTTGAATGTTTATAATTATATTTGACGGAATGGATGAAATTCAATATTTTGAATTTGTAAATGGAGTTCATATCTAACAATTGCCTAGGTTTATAAAGATTTGTTGGTTCCAAGTAATCTAGTTTGTATATACATTTAATAACTTTGTTTTGAAGGATTTTGATTGGCTTCATGATTGATAATCTAGCTGTACCCCAAACTGAAATCAAGTATTGTAATTTGAATAAACCAAGGAAAAATATATACATTTCAAGTATTTCAAAGTGATTTGGTGTCTGATCCTGTAGAGTACTCCGATTACTGGAGATATTTTCTTTCTGATCGATTCAATATGTTTGGACCATGAAATACAGAGCAGGATATTCCAAAATTCATGGTTTTTCTAGTGAAAAAGATTGGAGAATTGAGACAACGAGTAGTAGAGTTGTACAACAAGATTTAGATACCGAAATTAGAGTTAACAAAATTCATAACTAATATGCTAAAGATATTACAGATTTTGAACATTTTCAAGCTGGTATCTTCAATGAAATTTTTCATTTTATTAATTAAAAATTTGATTTAAGACTCTTACGTCTCCATTCAGATTAAATGGTAAAACTATATTGTGTCGTTACTTCTTTAATTTTTTGCTATAAAACATTCTCAATAATTATTGCTTTACAATTTGTATTTGTAACTTGTTCTTCGTTTAACCCCGCTTTCCGAGTCGATGAGATGCCATGCACAGATTACAGATTGAAGACTGATGAAGATATATGGCTGTACTTTTCTCTGACCATGAAGCTGAAGATACCGAAATCCTTCATTCAAGCGGAAATCATACGCATGTCCTTGTTTCGTGATAAAACATGAGTATATTATGATCTGCAATATTTTGGTTTGTAGTAATGTCTGACTCCCAATGTTTGTCAAGTGTCCGTACTCTAATATGAAGAAACCCATCAATGTACTATACCTTTCATGTAGCAAACGTTGTTTAAAATCAATACATAGGCTGTATTATACCAAAATTGATTATCGTCGGCCAACTATGATGTTTCAATCTTTCAAGTAGGTATTTGCTGCATAAAAAGCACTCCTTTCTGAAGAAGAATGAGTTTCGATCGGGCAAGACTGAACCCAAAAAATTAAAATGTATACCAGAACGAAATCGTTGAATTCATTGAGAATCCATATAGTTAAAAGTAACATAACCTACCTGAATATAGACCTTGGAGAGGTGTTCTGACGTCACTACTACTTGCAACAGCAGATCTAGTGAATGCACCACAACTTGGCAGAGCTTGTACGAAGGAACCAAAAATATTACAAAGGCCCAAGGATATCATCTCTTGAGAAGCATCAACAACGACATCTTGACCTGAAAAATACCATTTAATTGAAATACTTCAATAATTTGAGGCTGCGAGAGGTGTGAGAGTTTTGCTCTAGTGAGCACAAGTTTAACACACTCTCGATGGTAATTTCTGGAGATTATCCCCGGAGGAGTCAGCTAATCTTCATTTACTCTTCGGGGATCGTCTTTTTCAGTTACACAATAGCTTCAGGTTTATTTAGTTCTGTTTTGGTAGGTTTCTGTCATTCGTAAAATATAACTCGAAAAGAGATGAAGTCATCAAGAATATGAGTAGACCAAAAGGTGCGCAACTGAAAAAGGAAATCGACCTGTCTAAGCTTCTTTCCCAACGGGCCATATGATTTTTTTTAACCTTTCCGTGTTCACTGTATGATACTATGCTAAATTACAGGCTGTTCCGTCTAAATCGCGCATTAGAAGAGCATCTTGTGAGTGAGTGAGTTTGTGAGCGAGGCATCACCCACGAGACGAATTTCCCTTTTTTGGAAAGAATCCAACAGTTTCAGAAAGGTAAATGCTGATAGTAATACCAAGCATCGAAATGGATGCCTTCAAAGGTATGGTTACTCCTGATAAGCTTATGTTGGGCGCAGTGAGATCGGCTTATTTGAGAATGACACTGATCTGAACATTTGTATACTGGGGTTATCGATTGAGTCCTTTTCAATGAAAATATTTTCAAGATTGCGAGACTTCTGGTTATACCGGAAGTGACATTAACTTCGTTTTATTAAATGATACACCCTGTATTTTATTGCATTTATAGATTCTCCCTGAAGGACTGATTTCATCAATTCATCACACTTGGGGTCTAGCAGGAATGATTACAGAGATATAGAGTGTTCATGGGTTCAAGATCGAGATTTTTCAACTTTAGGATTTTTTTGTGTTGAAACTATTGACCATTGGTCATAACGGCTTTCTCGTCCCTATCTCAACCTTTGATTCAATATCTACTGATATTTATTCTTGGATGTATGACAAATTGATATTCATCATACAGGACGTGGAGAGAAATTCTAAATTGAGAAAACCTTATCACGAATCTGGGATTAAAGGTTTAAGAAAAAAAACAAGTTTAACATACAGGGTGTTTCACAGGTAAAGGTACATATTTCAATGGTAGATAGGGGTCACCAAGGTGGTTCTGAAAATACCATATTTGATAGGTCTAAGGGTTTTCATAACGGAGATACAGGGGGATTTATCGATTTCGAATAATTATTCATTCGTCTATAAGTATTGAACTACCCACTATATTTTTCTAAAATTTGGTATGGAGCTCAAACTTGGGACGTTGAATGCATTCACCTATCGGGCGAAGTGAAAATCCAGGTTCGGCTTCAGGAAAAATTTAAAATTTATTCGAAATATTAAAATAACACACTGTATGTAATAATTGGCAAAGCTCATCAAAGGAATCGTGAAGAGGAGAAAAACTGAACTGGATTTGATGCTTTTTGTTTTCCCGCCACCAATCCCGTCGTAACAATCATAAACAGGAAGATGTCAATTTCAAGAGTATTAAAATTATGAAACCACTTTCAATTATGATTATTCGATATATCCCAGCAAACATTGAACTAGTGGGAGAAGTCCGGCCTAGTGCAGGTTAGTCTGGGAAAGTGACGATGCCGGGGTATAGGTAATGGGCCGATGATTTTCCCATGCCAAGTAACCATCAGTTAAAAATACGATGATGGCCTTGTGATGGTAAGATGTCTGGAACTAATTGAATACTAACAAGATCTGGCCCTTTGCTGGCCAATTTCATATTCACTACCCGTCCCCCTGGCGGATGTTTTGGGAACGTCTACATCAACAATCAGCTGATCAATATCATATGTGACTAAGATGGCTGACTCTCGTGAGTGGTGATCGCGTACTAGTTTGTTTATGTCGAATTAATGTGATCCTCTCTTTCCGTGGTGGTTATTTATGATGGCAGGAGTATTCTCAATTGATAATAATAGAAGACAGATTCTTCAATTATGATAATATTGAGTAAGTATCAATGTACATACCTACATAGTGTTTTGAATGTCATTATTTGATGCATGTGTTTGGTATCTCGTAACCTCATATACCTAATGATTATGATAATTAGATTGGAGTTAACTATATACTTCTCTAAAAGCAACCATCATTTCTAACTCGTTTGTTGCTATCAAAAGCAATCTCAGGTTATGTGAACCTATCTCTATATTGAATAACAGAATAACAATAAGATTTCAGCTACAGAATTACCTGTGCCAACACCATAATGAGAATTGAAAAGCTCCATGCTATCACGTCATTTGACTATATTATGAAGTTATAAACTCATGCAACTCATAGGCCACTAATATTAAACAAATGATGCATTTTATATTTCAGAAGTAGCTCACAACGAAGAATCAACTTCGAAGAAATGCTACCCAATAAGATGTAGATACCACACACCAACCAGTAAGCAGTCACTCCGAGAAGTTTCATCGTTGAAGAACAGAGAGGTTAAGAAGAAATCATTGTGTCATTCATAAAATTGTTTTCTTGAAATCTGGTATTTGTCTGATTCATGATGAGAGAATTATGCTGTGAAATAAAGAGGTACTAGAACTTTCAGATCCATTGGACCCCTAAAACCCCTACCCCTCCCCTACCTCGATAGTATGTAACCAATGTCGTTAATTGGCCATTACAGTCCCATCATTTATGTATATGCTGGGCTTGCTATGGAAAACTCAATTTGTCGATTATGTTGTACTGGCCTTTTGCCGGGGAACTGAATATGATTGCTGGGTACCCAGCACTGAAACCAGCTGCCGGCCGCAGTGTACTGATATATAGAGTCCCGCATATGGGACCATTTACTGACCGCTGATGTTGGGTATGGGAAAAATATACTAGGCCATTGATGCCCCATATCAAGATATTTGCTGGGATTCTTGTAAAATGATCGTTCGACAGAACTTAGTTAGTCTCACAGTCTTTATAACAGATATACAGGGTGAATTATCACTCGTCCATAAGTATTAAACTACCCATCGCAGTAATATTTCCTCAAATTTGGTATTGAGCTTACTTGGGACGATGGATTCATTGACCTATCAGGCAGAATGGAAATACAGGTTCAGCTTCAGGAGAAGTCTCATAGTCTTAATAACAGAGATACAGGGTGAATTATCGAATTATAATTCCGCCTGATAGGTTAATGAATCGATCGTCCCAAGTAAGCTACATACCATATTTGAGGAAATGTTACTGGGTAGTTTTATACTTATGGGCGAGTGAATAATTATTCAAAACCGATAATTCACCCTGTTTCTCCGTTATAAAAACTGTGAGACTTAGTAAGTTCTTTCGAGCGATTTTTTGACTAAAATATATCGAATAATCATAATTGACACTGGTTTCATAATTTCAATACTCTTCAAATTGACATACTTTCAGCTTTCTGTTTATGATTGTTACTATGAGAATTGGTGGCGGGAAAACAGGAACCATCAAATCTAGTTCATTTTTTTCTCTTCTTTACGATTCCTTTGATGAAATCTGTCAATTATTACATACAGTGTGTTATTTTAATATTTCGAATAAATGTGAATTTTTCCTGAAGCCGAATCTGGATTTTCTCTTCGCCCGATAGGTGAATGAATTCAACGTCCCAAGTTCAAGCTCCATACCAAATTTTAGAAAAATATACTGGGTAGTTCAATACTTATAGACGAATGAATAATTATTCGAAATCGATAAATCGCCCTGTATCTCCGTTATGAAAACTCTAAGACCTATCAAATATGGTATTTTCAGAACCACCTTGGTAACCACTATCTACCATTGAGATATTTCCATTTACCTGTGAAACACCCTGTATATATACCGAAATACATCGAGAATTCGCATTCTCTATGTGATAAAGATATCAATTCTTTCTCGGTTTATTCAACAGAGAACAACTCTTTTCCTGGCTATATGACACGACGAAAATTGGATCATATTTATTGAATACACACGATAAGAATTTGAGAACTTGAGTTGAGAACTTGCATTCTCCTTCTGAATATTCAACAGAAAACAACTACTTTCCTGGGTATTTGCCACGTCGAACATTGAATTATATCTATTCAACATCCAAAAGGAGAGCATGAAAAATGCAATTAGAACAAATGCAGGGTGATCAGAATTCTGAATCTTGAACAACCTTGAGCTTCAACAACTATTGCATTGAATACTATTCAAATGAATGAAAACATGTCTAGCTTTCAATCTATGCCAGGAGTAAGGAATGTTTTCTCTAATGTTAAACGTCATCGCAACGTCAGATGAATATCTGGAAAATCGCCAATATTGTGAATTGTTTTTGGCAAAATAATATGGTATCCTACTGCATAACATTCAGAGATGTGGAAAACTCTTCAAATGACACATTTTGTCTTTGGATATAGAAAAAAGGTCTTATTACATTTAGTGATTCACACGAGACCAACGAGACGAGACTTTCATAAAGTCTCGTCTCGTCTCGCCGATGAAATATGAAGTCTTGTCTCGAGTCTCGTCTCGCAGCCTCTAGTCCCGTCTTGTCTCGCGTCTCGTACGAGAGTCTCGCAAATGTATCGCAATTTCGGCATGCACATCATTCTTGTTCCAGTCTAGTACGTGATATTCACCTTCACCTACTTTGAAGGCATAATGTAGAAGTAGGGAGAGAGAATTACAACAAAAATAACATTATTTATTGAAAAGTAAGTACCTAATAGGTACATACTTACATCATACATCTAAACAAGAAACAGCGTGGGTTACCAGTAACGCCTCGGTCTCTAGAAGGCTAACCACTCATCCTTCTTGGAATTCTTCCTCTCTAGGAAGTTGCATGTCAACATAGGCTACCATTCGAAATTATTTCAAAACATACAGGGTTTCCCCAAAAACCGCGAAACACTAAAGTTATACTTTTTTAATTATTTCATTTTGAGATTTTCCCTGATGAGCTGATTTCAACGACCCATCATACTTGGGGTCTAGCAGTAATAATTACTGAGATATATAGAGTGTGAAAAATCGAGATTTTCCAAGTTCAAGAATTTTTTGTGTCGAAACTATTTATAATTGTTCAAAATGATTTACATATCCCTATCTCAATTTTTTATCCACTATCGATTGGTATTCAATTGAAATAGATACAGAGTGGTCAAAAATCTCAATTCTGAACCACCCAGTATTTGTTTTAATCGAATACCTATGTTGACATGCAACTTCCTAGAGAGGAAGAATTCCAAGAAAATGAGTAGTTAGCCTTCTAGAGACCGAGGTGTTACTGGTGCCCCACACTATTCGAAATTTGTAAAAATAAAATGAAATGTTTTGTCTATCTATGCTGAATAGTTTGAATTCTCTCTAAATATGTTGTATTATAAATGAAATTCCCAAGTCTGCAGTCGGCACGCAGAAATATTTACCTGCGAGACTCTCGCACGAGACACGAGACGACTCGCACGAGACTCGAGACGAGCCCAATAAAAGTCTCGTCTCGTCTTGTCCGAGTCTCGTCTCGAGTCTTGTCTCGAAAACGAGACGAGACCATGCGAGACTCTCGCGGGCACCACTAATTACATTCAGCTCTATTTAATACTAAAATTGTTGATGGGAATAACGAAGAAATGACTTACTGTAAGCTTTTGCTATCGCCACATTTGCCAAAACAGCGACAACTGGTACAACTATCACACCTGACGATAGCGAACTCACCATCTCTTCATATCCCACCGTCTCATTTCCGAACTTGGTTGTCAGAGCTGGAAAGGTGAAATCAGGAAGACCTTGCGGCACTTTTCCTGTTAGTTTGAAAGGAGCACCACCATTGTAATGCAAGTAAGCAGCCACTAGCGATGCCAGAAGAACAGTAATGGCGTTTTTAGACATCACCATAAACTTGATAATCTTCTGCATGACTTTGTTTTTTGTTTTGATTCTCGGTAGTAGATGCTGAAAATTCATACCTTGGTATATTACTGCCTTCTGGATATTGGTACCTGGATAATTTCAATACTTGTACAGGGTGGTGACTACACCACCCTTAACATGTTTTTGCAAATGCAACCCTATGACTTGTGACCCCTCTGGTGGAAAGATGGTTCAAAGAGGATGTAATGACTGATATTGGCTTAGAGGTTGGCTTATAAAACTGTAGCTTATAATGTCTAAAATAAAGACTATATTTTTAACGATTATTATATTAATCGAAAATTAACAACTGAATTATTGATTCAACTCCTCGTTAACAACATATTCTGTATACAGGGTAAACTGATATACAGGATGTAAAGTAAACTATCCAACAGAGGAATTCAGGAGTCATCCTGTATAGTTCACTTCAGTAGTATTGGCTACAATGATGGCTCGTTCCAGAATCCTTTGATTCAAACCTTCTCCGCTAATTTTACTCTGGTGTCCTATACCAATATTACAATAAAAGGCAGCCACAAATATTTGGTTCTCATAATTAAAATTTGTTGAATTGTTTGTACAATGGTTCTGAAATATGTACCAATGATGGCACCATCCAATCTTTATGTAAGCGAACACCACGCATCGTTTGAATTCAATTGTTCTATATCAGTCCGACGAAACAATCGGGGAGTGAACCCTGTGTATTTACATTCAATACCCTGTATAAAGCTCATTATAATCATGCTTTTTCAAATGAATTTGGTTGGTACCAATAACTACACCTTTTCCAGATTTATTTCAGAAAGCGTCAATTCAATTTCAGAACAGTCACTTGTATTTCAGAAAGCGTCAATTGTATTTCAGAATAGTCATTTCAATTTCAGAAGGCGTCAAATGTATTTCAGAATAGTCACTTGCATTTCAGAAAGCATCAATTGTATTTCAGAATAGTCAATTCGATTTCAGAAAGCGTCAATTGTATTTCAGAATAATCAATTCAATTTCAGAAAGCATCAATTGTATTTCAGAATAGTCAATTGAATTTCAGAAAGTGTCAATTGTATTTCAGAAAGTATCATTTGTATTTCAGAAAGCGTCAATTGTATTTCAGAATAGGCAATTCAATTTCAGAAATCGTTCTCTATAGACTGAAAGCCAGCGACCACCAGACATCATTTCAACAAGGTTGATATTTTCCATGTGTGTTATGTGTTATACCTTATTCGGTGGAATCGTTTTGGGAGTTAAAAATCTTTAGTACTGGATGAGCTTTCAAGAGATACCGGGTGTACAAAAAAAACTGGCAAAAACATCATATCAACAAAAGTTTATCATGAAAGAGAATATACAATTGCCAGGCACTTTCCACGGGGTGTTCTCCTGCCAGACAATTTTATAAATCGTGAAAATATCATGACATTCACGTCATAGCAACAGAGCTTGATTTTGTAAATGTTATTAAGAAGCCTATTTTACAGTATCATTCAAACAGCCATCAGTCACTTCCTATTGGACAAACATGTAAAAATCAGAACTTTTTCATAGCAATAGAAATAAGTGTATCTATGATAGTCCCCTATACCTGAAATTCTGTAATCTGTTCATCAAATAGTATATAGGTACCTACAAGGTACATAAAGAAGAAATTTGGGGTGATTGAATTGGAAACATCACTACAGGAAGCACTGAACATCCTATGCATTCTTACATGGAGTGCACTTTCTACTAACTAATCGATCTTGATGCTTTCTGAAATTCAATTTACGCTTTCTGAAATTCAATTTACGCTTTCTGAAATTCAAATGATATTTTCTGAAATACAATTGACGCTTTCTGAAATACAAGTTACTATTCTGAAATACAATTGACCCTTTCTGAAATTAAATTGACTATTCTGAAATACAATTGATGCTTTCTGAAATTGAATTGACTATTCTGAAATACAATTGCCTATTCTGAAATACAATTGACGCTTTCCGAAATTGAATTGACGCTTTCTGAAATACATCTGGAAAAGGTGTAGTGTTCCTTATTGAACTTGACACTGGCTGTTTCGACGATTTTGAAGTAAATCAGACGTTTTGTCAGACGAGGCCTAGAATATGTTTCTCGCATCTTCCATCCCCTACATGTTCAGGAAAGAGTACATCCATATATATTCCTTTGCCTTTAATTTTTTCTTGAAATATGGAAAAATAAGGATAAAGGATCTCAATGGAGGCCGATACCGTAGAATGGGGATACTTGGAACTGCAGGGTAAATTTAAACAAAACTTCATACTTTCAAATTATCTCCTGAAATCTACAGCTGATATCGTATCATGCATATTTGTTCAGTATGGTTATATACTACTCGATTAAAAATAAGTGGCGTTCAAATATTGTTTCGAGAATGTTATGACTGTGGCCAGGTAGCCGTGCGGACAGAGTGTCTATATTCTAATTCGCATTCGCTTGCCGGTCGTGGGTTCGATCCCCGTCGACTGCAGAAATTTTTCTGATGGCCCAAGAAAGTGTTTGGGATCACACGTTAAAAGGTAAGGCCCCCGTCATTCCTTGCTCGCACAAGACTTTCGAAGACTTTTGAGGGTTGCTCGTAAAGGGGCAACCGAATGACGGATAGAACAAATTTTAGAACAAATTTTAGAACAAATTACAACTAATAAAACATACTTTTATCTTAGATGGAACATTTTCGCTTATACAAGAGTGGTAGAGGTAATATAGTAGGAAACCATAATATAGCTGTATATGGTTTAGCGCTCAAAACTGACTATAGATCGCCATTCACATTGCTAGAGGGGTTGTTGGCTCGAATCCGGCAATCGGAAGATCATTTTGAATAACAATAAATGGTGCACGGGTTGAGTGTTCTTGTCCTGTCAACATCTTTTGGCACACCAGAAGTTTTTCAAAATCTATTTTATGTTTTAGAGGTCCCGCATTTCTCAACTACGCACAAGTTCAGAATTCAGACTTGGGATTTCAACTTTGAAGGAAGCGATATAAAAACAATCTATTTCTCAAATAGGTACATCCGAGTTCCACAAAGTGACAGTATGTTACAGAAAATTTCCGGTATTTTGATATTGCATACAATAATATGTTTAGAGAGAAAAACTCAAAGTCGTCTCCAAAATTTTAATGTATAATAAGTCAATCCTGCTTCAATAAGGTTGAGAGTTGATACATGTTTCGGCCATTCAAATGGCCATCTTCAGTCAAAATAGCAAAGTGTATGTGGAAATTACTTCAGATAACTGTTTCTTCAAGTAGGTACTCTTTGATTTTCGTTTCGAAAATAGATTTATGATTCATATGTAATGAAAGCTCATGCATCTTCAAAGTCCTCATATTATTATATTATTAGATTCTTGTGTATCCGCTAAACATGTCCAAACTATTATTGCATCTGTTTGTCCAATGGTGTTTATTAAATTATTATCTAAAATAGGGGCATTATTTAGCTGTGCAAGTTTGTATATATGTTTGTTCCTCACTCACTCTGTATTTATTTCGATATCCTTCCACTTTGTATAAAAATCCACTAGAAAACCAAACACGAACTGAACACAGTACTAAAATCTCTGTTGAGAGTGTTTAAACAACATAAACAAAGGAATTAATATACGCCATACTGAATCATTGTTACCACTGCAAAATGATCAAAATGAAAACTCATGCGAGCGAGTAGGGATGCCAAAGTTGAGTGAGTGATGACGGCACACTCCGTTGAAATATTGATGGCCCTTGGACTTGGATACATACAGCGGAAGACTAGCGGCTGGGAAACAGAGGCCCATCATAAGTATGTGTACATTCTGCCTTCGTCATATAATCCTTCGAAATTATATGGAGGGCCTTTCGAGGCATGCCGACATCGACATTTGCCCGCCGTTCTCGCCATGGGCCCGGCTTTCTACCGCCTTCCGATGTTTGCTGGGAAGCATCGTGAAGGCGAAAAAAAAATATTACTTGAACATCATTTATTATCTGTTTTATTTATTGGAAATAGAGTGGAGTAGGAGGAATTGGGAGGCAGGCAAATAGCCCAAAATTCTTCATGGGACGCAGAAGAAGCTCTCTACGTCCCATGAAGAATTTAACTTTCCTCTTGGAGGATTGGGCTTTTTGCCTTCCTCCCAATTCCTCCTACTCCACTCTATTTCCAATAAATAAAACAGATAATAAATGATGTTCTAGTAATAATTTTTTTTTCGCCTTCACGATGCTTTGAAGTAATTTCCACATACACTTTGCTATTTTGACTGAAGATGGCCATTTGAATGGCCGAAACATGTATCAACTTTCAACCTTATTGAAGCAGGATTGACTGCCTTATTATACAATAAAATTATGGAGACGACTTTGAGTTTTTCTCTCTTGATCATTCCACTCCACTTTGAGTATGGACTACTACAGAAGAATAATATGTTATTCATACACCAAGGTTGTAATAAAGATTATCATTATTACCCAGGGACCAGGATTATATCCCAAGACTTCTGCCGAGGGGCATAAGGTCCCCTGGTGATATATTTCTTTACTACCAAGGTATACAGGGTGTAATTTAATTGATGGCTGAAAATATAGGACATGCATGGTTTCTTAGCTCATTTTGAGAAGAGAAGTTCATATGAACATATTCCCTAAACCTCATAACTTTCGGTGTCTATAGGGCGTTAACATTTGATTTTCTCTTTATTGATCAAAGAAACTTTCACAATATAAAAACTGTCACGTTTATGAATACTTGTCAAGACCGCAACGTAATCGATCAAATGTCATTATTTCAAATACAAAATAGGGCATTAGCTTACTAGTTCAAAATAATTCCGTTATGCCACAAATGCATGAAAATTGTTTTTATTTCTTTACGCGAGAACGGTTCGTCGGACGTAAAGAAATGGGGATTCAAAAAATCTCCAAGATACATCCCATACGTACGCCACTGGTAGAGATATTGAAAAATCTTCTGCATCGAAAAATGCATATTAGTGCTCAGTAGGTGCCTGTCAAATTTCATGAAAATATCT